AAAAAAAAAAAAGCCGGTCGAATATGTCAGAATTAATTAGATTAATTACTTGTGATCCAAATTTTCTTATTTTTTTGAATAAAAGTGAATATTTTTTTTTAATATGATATAATTCTAGAGAAAAAAAAATTATTTTATTAGGCGAATTGTGACACCAAACTTACACCAACTCTCTAATACTTTGTGCAGTTGACATTTTGTCCACAACTATCTCTTTCTCTAATGATTAGTTGAAAAAGTTGATGAAAGAGAAAAATATTTGAAATAATTTTTTTAAAAAAAATATGTAATATGTCCAGTAATTTGGGGTGGGTGATCATAAATTATTAAATTTGTCTATTTTTCACCAAGAAAAAAAAATCATCATTAATTAATTAATTAATTAAAAGCATGTGATAATATATGCTCAAAACTGTAAAATTTATGTAACAACTATCAACTATCTAAATGAAAAAATAAAATAAAATAATAATATAAAATAATAAAATGTGTGCATAAATTAATTTATCACGATTTGAAAAAATTGAATATTTTTAATCAATGTGATATATGCTTAACAAAAGGTGGTCAGCCATAGCGACTCATCTTCCGGGAAGAACAGACAACGAGATAAAGAACTTCTGGAACACACATCTGAAGAAGAAGCTGATCCAGATGGGCTTTGACCCGATGACCCATCAGCCAAGAACCGACATCTTCTCCAGCCTCATAGCTCTAGCCAAGCTGATCGAGAATCCAGCCGGCTGCTGGGAGCTGGAGCAAGCCGTACGGCTCCAAACCGAAGCCGCACATATGGCCCGGCTCCAAAATCTCATCCTCCAAAACCTCATCCAACCCCAAAGTCAAATGCCCATTTTGACCCCAAACAACTTCCAAAATATCAACAGCAACAATAGTAATAACTCCACGGCGCAAGACTACGCGCCGATTCAGGAAACGGTGGAACCGGCGTTCGCCGGAGATTTATTCCCGGCATTCTTGCATCTGCCGGATTTAGTGAATGTTCCGATTAATAGCGGAGTTAGTGAGCAGAGTATTGGGGGTTGCGATTTTGGTGGGGGGCCGTGGATGGGGGGAAATGTGTCTCAATCGCCGCCGTCTTCGGCGGCGCCGGCGCCGGAGATCTCGGTCGGGGAAACGGCGGTGGAGGGTGGTGTGGGTTCCCAGATGTGGTCCGACTTGCTGGATGATCCTATTTTTCACGAGATTGGGCTTTAATTAATTAAGTAATATGTTTATTTTAATATATATTATGGGAGATACTACGGTCCCATTACAGGATCATTCAATCGGGGTTTGTAAGCGTTACATCAACAATCTCCGACTATTACATGATGTTTTATCGATTACAAACCCCAATAAAATGATTCTGTAATCGGACCGTAGCATTTCTCAGTCTTATAGGTACACGTGTATATGTCTGGCATGAAGGCTGTATGGAGTTGTAGTTTTGGACTTTTGTGAGTTTTTGTGAGATCTATCTTTCACAACGCATACAATGTATAGAACTTCTTTTCATTGCCATGTTTTATAAGCAAAAAAATGATGTGCCGGAGTAATATATCCACAAATCTTACTTATATATGGAGCTATTTTATGTGGCAAAATTTACTAAATTTTTTTAATTAAATTTCTTAGGGTTGGATTATTTATAAATACATTTTATTTTAATATATTTAAATCATTACATATATTAATATATTTTTTTTCTATAGTAATGTGTATATTATTTTACTTTTCAAATTTTCGCTTTGTCTATATTATCTCTTATGCGTTTTTAAATAAAGATATTATAAAATAAAAGTAATAATGTTGTATATAAATTAGTTTTCAGAATTTATAATATCATTGTAAATTAACATAGTTCTTTATCATAAATTGTTATATAAGCATATATTATTTTATCAAACACCAGTATAATAATGAGTCTCAAACTAGCCTTTATGTTGTATTTTCTTATATAATAGTGCTATTTTTGAACGAAAATAAAAGATCAGCATTTTACACTAATAATATATAATAGTACAAAACTCTTATTTTGTTTACTCCTTTTGTATTGGGGTCATCTAGGGACGGGTAATTAATTTAAGAAGTGACGCACACATGATTCTCAATTATCATTAGACGGGCCCCAAGTAGTTAGGAAACACCAAGATTAAGAATTCGTATATGTTTGGGTTTTCAACAAACGAGACAACGAAATTTATGGCCTATGAATTACATAGGAGTTGGGAAAATTTTCATTATTTGTCCAATGGGAAAAAATGCACTATTCGTCCACTAACTATACCTTCTTTGCACTTTCGTCCTTTAATTGTTTCTGGTTTATAATTGGTACACTAACTTCTTTTTTTTGGTAATTTTAGTCCAAAATGACATTCCGGTGCTCATTTTCGCCGGAATAGCTGATGTGGCGCCCAGTCAGATCGGAATTCCATCCTCGGCGTGATGTAGCACGAGGTGGCGCCTAGTCAGATCGGAAAATTTGCACTATTCGTCCACTAACTCTACATTCGTTGCACTTTCGTCGTTTAATTGTTTCCGATTTACAAAATCAGAAGAAAAAAAATATTAAGAAAATCAAAAGAAAAAGAAAAAGCTTTAAAAAGAAAAAGAAAATACATGTGGATAAAAAAATTAACAAAAAAACGAATATTAATTAATAAAAAAAATTATTTGTTTAATGAATAAAAAAATATCTTTTTTTTTTTAAATAAAAATACATTTTTTATTTACTTAAAAACGAAATAATTAATAAAAAACGAAATGAAAAACAAAATAAATGTTTAATGAGAAATAAATGTTTTTTATTTAATGGTTAAATATTTAATAAAAAAGAAATATTTATCATTTTTTTGTTTAATGAAAAAATATTTTTTATTTAAATAAAAAAAATAAAAAATATTTAATAATAAAAGAAATATAAAATGAAATAAATATTTTCATGAGTAATAAATATTATAAATATTTTTTATTAATGGTTAAATATTAAATGAAAAATTAAATATTTATTAAAAAAATATTTTTCATTTTTTGTTAAATATTTTGTTTTTGTATTAAATACTTAATCATTAAATAAAAAATATTTATCACTCATTATAAATTTATTTCGTTTTTATTAAATATTTCGTTTTTATTTAATCATTAAATATTTCATTTTTTATTAAATTACAAAATTATATTTTTTTCTTTTTCTTTTGATTTTTTCTTTTTCTTTTTAAAGCTTTTTATTTTTCGTTTGATTTTTTTAATATTTTTTTCTGATTTTGTAAACCGGAAACAATTAAAGGACGAAAGTGCAACAAATGTAAAGTTAGTGGACGAATAGTGCAATTTTTCCGATCTGACTAGGCGTCACCTCGTGCCACATCACGCCGAGAATGGAAATTCCGATCTGACTAGGCGCCACATCAGCTATTCCGGCGAAAATGAGTACCGGAATGTAATTTTGGACTAAAATTACTAAAAAAAAGTTAGTGTACCAATTGTAAATCGGAAACAATTAAAGGACGAAAGTGCAACGAGGGCATAGTTAGTGGACGAATAGTGCAATTTTTCCTTGTCCAATGTGATTGTACATAAAAATTATGATAATCAAGCTTCTAATCATGAACATTATATATTAGATTGAAGATGGTGCGGTGCGGTCCCACAAAGTGAAGCGCACCATGCGAGTGCGAGCATATTTGCAGTTACTGAGGTTTCATCCCAAAATTAATTGGTGATTGGAGAAGTAGCCCACTAGGCTTATATACTAGGCTCATTTTTCCTATAGAATTAATGTCGGGCAACTGATCACAAGTGACATTTCAACACGCCCCCTTACTTGCGAATCATTCGTAATCCCAAGCCGAGAGCAGGCCGGGTAGAAATATAGAGTCCAAGGCCAGAGCAGACAAAGTAGAGAGAGTCATTGCAGGTCCTAGGACATGCCCACTATGATACCATATTAGAACCGAAGGAAGAAGGTGCGGTGCCACTAGGTGAAGTGCACCATACACCTTAGTGAGGTTTCATCCCAAAATCAATTGGTGATGAGAGTAGTCCACTATGCTTATGTACTACGTTCATTTTACCTATAAAATTAATGTGGTATATATATATATATAGGTCGTGTACGACCAAAGAACGATTCAACTAGATCAAGTGAACCGATAGATCGGTTAGACAAAAAGGATGTCAGAGGTTGCAGAAACATCAAGTTGACGGTGACCTCATGGGCAAAGCAGCACGACAACATGTCAGCTAGGACTCTTAGCCAGCCTGATGGAGATTCGGTCAAGAGGCTTACATGTCGATGTACGACCTAAATGATAAACTTGCTCGTTGAAGGTCAGAGTGACATAACACATTATAAGCGTTATTTCAACCCCTTAAGGAGAGACTCCTAGGAGGTATATAGAAGATCAACATTAAGATAATGTTGATTCCGATAACGCTTAAAAGTGTTATATGTAGCCAAAAAAAAACGAGATTTGGAACTTTTTTTTTTTTTTTGCGTAGTACATAGTGTATCACATAACTCTTTTGTACTTTCTCAATTATCTTGGCATGTCTGTCGCATAGTTTATCGAATAATTATTCACACTATATCAATTGTATTTGTTTGTCTGTTGCGTAGCTTTTTGCAACAATATTTTTTGCGGTTTGTTGCTTAGTATATCACATAACTATCTCGCACTTTGTCAATAATCTTCCACTATCTCGCATATTTGTTCGCATAAATATTTCTTTTATTTTATTGTTTGTATGTCTATTGTATATCTTTTCGCATTATGATTTCGCACTTTATCAATTATTTTGCCTGTTTGTCGCATAACTATTTCGCACTTTATCAACTATCTTAGGTATGTCATATAGTTTTCCACATCAATTATCTTTGTTGTCAATTGCATAATTAATTTGCACTTTTAAATTATATTAGCATATTTGTTGTATAGTTTATCGCAAAACTACTTTGCATTTATCAACTATCTTCGATGTGTCATTCGCATAATTTATTGCATAATTATTTGTCACTTTATCAACTATACATTCGGTTGTTCGACGTATAGTGTATCGAATAATTTTTTTTTCACTTTATCAATTATCTTTGTAGTATAGTCACATTTTATCAATTATCTTTGTTGTTCATAATTTATCACATAATTATTTCGAAGTTTATCAATTATGTTCGTTTATATAAATTATCTTTGTTGTGCATCATTTATCTCATAATTGTTTACACCTTATCAATTATGTTAGCCTATATTATAAATTATCTTTGTTGTAAATTATCTTTGTTGTGCATCATTCTTATCAATTATGTTAGCCTATATAATTTATCAATCATGTTGGCCTATATAATTTATCGCATAACTATTCTGCAGTTTATGAGAATATTTTATCAGTTAGCCTATAGTTTATAGGAACATTTTCTCAGTTAGCCTCAGAATATTTTATCAGTTATCAGTTAGCCTATAATTTATCAGAACATTTTATCAGTTAGCCTCAGAATATTTTATCAGTTAGTCTATAGTTTATCAGAACATTTATCAATTAACCTACATAATTTATCGCATAACTATTCTGCAATTTATCAAAATATTTTATCAATTATTTTAGAATATTTTATCAGTTAGTCTATAGTTTATCAGAACATTTATCAATTAACCTACATAATTTATCGCATAACTATTCTGCAATTTATCAAAATATTTTATCAATTATTTTTGTCAGTTTATTGCTAGAACTGTAAACAAAGCGAACTCAAACTTAAGATGCTCGAACTCGAGCCCTAAACAAACTCATTTAATAAACGATGTTTATTGCATAATTATTTGACACTTATCAATTATTTATCACGTAATATATCGCATAACTTTTTCGCACTTTATCAATTATATATCGCATAATTGTTTCACACGTTGTCAATTTGTCGTCCGTTGCATATATAATTAGCATACAATTGTTTTCGCACTTTATTGGGTGAAAAGGTAAACTTCTTATTTGAAGGTATGTAAATCTTTGTCACAGATCAAACCAGAGTGAAAATAGCTATTTCACATAAATACAGAAATACAGATCACATTCTTTCATTTATTTGTGTATCTACGGATCGATCTATCGGACGTGGCTTCCCATCCTGACGACGATGCCATCAATATCCCGCACGTAACCAACTTTCTGTCCCCACTCTTTCTCCTCCGGCTCGCTCACACCCTCCGCCCCATTCTCCACCGCCCTCTGTCACGAGAGAATAATAAATATATATATGGGATGAATCAATCAAGTAAATTGATTTTCAATCAAACAATATATATATATACCCACCTTGTATGCAGCATCTACATCATCATAGTCGAAGCAGAGCTCGATCCTGTCCCGATCCGCCCGCACTGGCCCCGTGCGATGGTCCGTCTCGTGCTGCTTCGCAGGTGTGAAGGCTATGGTTGTCGGCCCGCTCTCCACCTCCCCCCATCTGATGCAATTTATTATACATATACTTATTCAGATAAATACTACAGTAGTCTCGTTACGGAATAATTCTGTCGAAATTTGTAACCGTTAAATAGATTATCATGTATTGATCTACTCAGGGGAGGAGCTACATATGGACCAGTGTGGGCCTAAGCCCACACTGAAAAAATAAAAAATAATATCAATTAGGTACAACTATTACTCAAAAAATAGTTTAACATTCATTAATAAAAATTAATGACCATACTTATATAAAGACAAAAAAAAAAA